ATATATACAACTTCCATTCACAGTAATGAAATTTTATGCGCATTTTAGCGTTAAATGAATATTAAAAAATTTATAATTTATGCTTTCAGTGGCAAGTGAGTGTTTGTATTAAAATGATTTCAAAGTTTAACCTCAAATTTTTTAAAGCATTTCTTCAAGATTTGAAATTAAATTACACCTAAAATATGATTAAGAAATTAAGAATAAAAATTATTATCATTAATTATTGCTTGAACCATTCGGAAGCAATTTGATGAAAAGAATTTCACACAGTTTAAAATGTGATATTTTAAAAATTTGTTTAAGTTTCAATGACGAAAAAATAACTCACAAAGAATTTGAATATTTCTGTATTTGTTTTGATTCTCTCATAAATATACTTTCGTTACAAAAGTATATTCTTTTCAAAAATTTTTTCGCTCAAAACTGTTTTGCGAGAGTGGAAACGATTTATGATAATTAGATTAGATTTAAAGTGTAATTTTTTTTTATTTCAAATTTTTTATAAAAATTTTGAGTGTAATTTATGTTTCAAATTTTTTTAATTGGAGAATTGTTTTAAAATTTAAACTTTTTAAAGCATATGTGTCAAAGTCATATATTAATTAATGTAAAGTTTTAAAAGAAATTTGTAATCAAAATATATTCTAAATCCGATTATCATAAATTATCTTTTCGACCATTTCAAAGCAATTTGTACTCAAACAAAATATATTTTTATAATTACTGTGAACATAATTATTCGAATAACTCAGTGACCTGAACTGATTCAGTGACCTGAACTGAGTGTAAAACGACTTTTTTTCTAGAAGAGTGATAAATTTTTATATTTTAACTAATTTTTATTAAGTAATCATTAACAAAGTGAATTTGCTGAAATACGTTATTTATTTATAAAATTTTGGTCACAATTTCAGTACGTAGGAAGTATGGAAATACCGCGACCTGGGTCACGTATCGAAATAGTCGCTGCAATGCGTCGAGTTAGGGTATGCCAGCTTTTTAATTTAAATGAAGTAACATCATATTTTTTTGCAAAGTTTTACTTATATAGTAATCAACTCTGTAAATTCTTTAAAAAATATATGTAAAGAGCGTGAATGAATGCCATATTTTGATAAATATTGTATTGATTTTTTATTGATTTGGATGTAATTTCAAAAATTTCCAAATAAAAATAATTGAATAAGTATCAACCACACCAAAATTTACTTTTAAACTTACTTGGTGCGAATCAATTAAACTTCATTAGTAAAAAATTTTCCAGGTCAAATTTTAAATATATTTGGTCACAAATATAAATTTATTGCAAGTGAAAATTTAAAATTCAAAGAGAAATGTTTCTTTTATAATAATTATATGACCTTATGAGTATGAGTTCAAATATCAGTTAAATATATATTTTTACAGTATGAGTTTAAAGCGCGAGGAATCAAAAAGCGTCCGGTAGATATTACAGTTTCCATTGATGGCATCAAAGTGGTTCTGCATCGAAAAAAAGTTTATTTTTGCTTACTCTTTTGGTGCAAATAATAATATTTTAATTAAAGATGATTTTTACTTTAAAGCCTTTTTTTAATTAAATTTAAATTTAACAAAAATTTTTGGTTTCTATTTTAGGTATCAAAAAAATTTTATCTTTACGTTATGAATAATTAGCATTAAGAAAATGTAATTAAATTTTAGAAAAATCAAAAGGATGCCACTTGGGATGAAAGCAAACTTTTGGTAATGTTTCATCCAATTCACAGGTTTTTATTTAAATTTTTTCCAAAAATTTATCGATAAACAAGTTTTTCATTTCATATTTATTATTATTTTGTTTAAAATTACACAAAATTTATAAATTAATTTGAATGTACATGAAAATAAAAAATAAAACCAAAAATAATTCAAAATTTTCATTCGATTCAGAGGTTATAATGCAAATTGAGCTTACACTTCAAAAAAAAAATTCATAAATTAATAGTTTAATAAAAAAAAAACGTAAATATTTTAAACTTTTTATCGAATAACTTTTAATAATTAAGCAAATAACAAAGTCATAAATTAATAATTTCAGTCTACGAAAAAAATTACGTTTTTTTAATTAAATTTCGCTATCATTAATTATCCGCAAGCAATTATAATTTAAGTCTTATTGCTAAAAATACTGCAATTAAGTATTTAAAACTATTTCTAATCAATCGTTTTAGTGATTATGATTTGAACTAAGTGCTGTTATTATTTATCAAAGATTATTAATTGCTAAAATTAATTGTAAATTATTGCTGCTAATTAAAACAAAGCATCAAACTTCATAAAGTGCGATATTTAAATAAATTTTAGGGTATTTTATGTATCTCACGATTCTCAGGATTTACAAATATTCTCTTATATTGCGCGGGATGGTGCTTCGAATACATTCAAGTGCAATGTTTTTAAATGTTCCAACAAGGTATCCTAGTTTTAACTATGTCATTCCATTTTTTAATCATCACAGTTCTGGAGAATTGTTATCGTTACTATCTCAAAATTCAACTAATTCTAGAACCACGTCTCCAAAAACCTTCAGTATATGACTTAAAACACGTAACTTATTAAGTTGTCTTTCTTCATTTATTGCATATAACTTAATATGTGACTTAAAATCATAACCAAAGTATGAACAGTTTGAAAAACAAATCTTTTAATAATTTGATGTCATAATGATTCTAAAACTGCTTCTGATGTCAACATTTCAACAATTCATATTCCAAATAACAAAAAATTTTACTGTAACAATATAAATTATAAAAGTGCCATTTAAACACTATAAAAAGTAAATTTATGAAACTTATGCAAATTTTTTTTAAATAATTTAAAAATTCAGTAAATGCGTTACAGCAAAGGATATTGTTATATTCTGACAACAGTAATAATTATGTGAGTTTGATCATAATGAATTTGGATTTAGTTATTGTAGTGCAATTAAAATTATGCAGATAAGATTGTGATACAAAAATACAACTGTTATCTTATCAATTTTATTAATTTACTAGCTAAAGTTGACTTATAAATTTTTATTTGCTATGAAATCTATCTAATAATAATAATCCTTTACAACATATTATGATAAGTAAGTGATATAAATTAGCATTAAATACAGTATGCATTCAATCTATTAATTATTCCCTTTGATTAACATCCAAATTGTGAAAAAAGACTGAATGCTTAAAACTTTTATCAATTCACTGCTAAGATAAAACACATAAATAAATAGTTAGCTTTCAGTAATGCAACATTTTTTTT